AGAATACCACCAGAACTGTTCACATGTAGACACAAGGTAATCCTAATAGTACATTCCTCAGATGCCACCTCAGATAGCTGTCAGGTAAGTATATTATCAATACTGCTTTCTATTGTATAATGTCATATATCATATTCAAACCACTATGTCCACTTTGTATGATGAAATTCAATTCAATACTAAAGGCACGAAGTTGACGTATGAAAAATACGACCAAAGATACTGCGACAAGATATATGAATCTATAGGAATATTTGTTCGGCAACCGAGTTAGTATAGAATCATTGGTATATTACCTTGTTTTTAAATGTATTCAATATATAAACTGATTCACAATTGCGGCTGAGAGTTTGAACACGACACTAACCTTTTTATAATGTGTTTAATATAAACCGAATTTACTTCTACAAACCTATCATGGCTACAGGAAACTAAAAACACAACACAGTCTTTGTGTTTACGTTTGGAAAATAAAAACATGTGAGACATATCGTGCACGATATGTTGGACGTTTGTACATATTACAGTCGTTCAGTACAGTAACGTGCATTAGACAATTCAGATATTATCAACAGCTTGAGGTACCATTAGGTACTCTCGTTTTTATCGTCGTCATTAGGTACAAAACGATATAGCAAAACGATAGACAAGTAGCTACCCAGACTGTACAAGTATCACCCTCACCCTCACCCTAGACTGTACGAGTATAGACTTTAACAAGCGGTTTTAAAGTTATTTTTTTTGAACTATCCTAATGCTGTAGAATAAAATTCTACTGCTTTTCCACGTAATTAGTCTTTGATCTAGCTACATCATCGTTGTGCCATAGTGCAAGCAGTAAGTACAATTCTCGGCTCATCAGACACAATTGAGTCCATCGGCAATTTAGGTTCTATAAGAGAATGGTTTATCGGATTTGGTGAACCATCATCCCAACAAAAGTTGTTGCAAGAAGGAGAGTTGAAAGTCGGTTTGCAGAGATTTTCGATTCAGTTGCCGTATCAAGAAACAAAAATCATCCGGTTAATGGGAGTACCGACTTCGATCAGTGATGCCGAAAGAAGTCAAATCGTGAGCCGATGGGGAGGTTCGATTGTTAGCGTTGAATGTGAAAACTTTCCTGCCCCGTACAAATCCATAAAAACGTTTGTTAGACGTGTGCGCATGCGCTTTCCGTCAAAAACTGAAGAAGAAAAGGTGCCTATATCTTTTAAACTGTATGGTTTAACTGTTCCAGTGCATCTTGAAGGAGGACGAGAAAGGGTCTGTTTCCGCTGTAAACAGGCCAGTCATTTAAAACGTGACTGTATAATAGAAAAATGCCAAGTATACTATAACTTGGGACATAATGATCCTCACTGTCAAATGAAGCGAACGTATGCCTCTGTACTAGCATACCAAATGACGGACACACATGTTCATATACCGACACCAACTCCAAAGGTTTCGGTAACTATACAAGATACTGCACTCCATCAGGATCATATACCAATAGATCATGATGATCCATCCTTGTCCCATATAGTATCAAATGCGGGTCCATCGCAGCATACTTCAAGGGATGCAAGTGTTGCAAAAGATCGCGGCTGCATTTTTATGGCGAGGAAAACATCCCATAATTAGTTTTAAAACTATAATTGGAAAAAAGATAGATGGAGGATTTGCCGTATTAAATATTAACACAATGGTAGAAGGGTTTAAAATTAAATGTGGTCTACGCCTGATGTCTGATACCCCAGCGAAGTGGAAATTTTATGCTCTGCAGTCCATGGCCACGCAGTTGCAGTGTTTTGATCGTTCATTATGGTCAAACCTGGTGCCACACATACAGCAGGGAACCAGTCTATTTCACGGAGCAGAATTGTGAAATGGTTAATGGATGGAAATTCATCCATCATCCCCAAAACAGGTTTATCCATTTATTGGCAGCTCATTTATAAGTATCATTTTCGATTACCAGTGTGCTACCGGAGGATGAATCATCTCAAAGATATACAATTTTTTAAACTCCTACTGTCGAGTAAAATGTTAACACATGCACATGGAATTTGGGTAAAATTAGTGAATAACGCACTACATATACGGGCACGGGTAGGCAGAACGGAATTAGAAAAACAATGTGTTTTTTGTCATCAACCTGAATCAGCGTACCATCTATGGATCGAGTGCACCTTTTTTCCCCCAGTGTATGATCTGCACAGGGACTCGATTGCCAATCGGACTCATGTGTCTGTTGAGCGCGAAACGAATCAAATCGGTTACATTGAGGAAATCCCCTCATATTATCTCACTATGGCACAACGTAAGAATATGATTTTCCAAATTGGAAATTTCATTGAAACAATATGGGATTATCGAAATGCAGTTCTTTTCGAGGAAATCCGGAAAAACATTAAGATGGTGACAAGATTTTTTCTCGCATCGGTGAATCACCTCCTCTTTGAAAACGGTTAACTAGTATGATGACTTTAACGTTATGTGTCAATCCGAACCCCATCCTCGGTTTTCTCTCTGATAACAATTTTTGCACGGAATACGAGATTGAGTAATTATGTGTATGCATTTGTGCCGTATTTTCTTTCTCTGCTTTTACATAGAAAAGCGAGAAGCAGAAGGGATCTCCTTGTGCATAGTTTGGGCTTTCATCCCATAGGCTTGGTAGTATAATGTAATATGTGATTATTTTTCGTCAAATACTTCTTCCTTTCCATACTCCACGCATGTGATCATAGTTTTCTTTTTCATTTTTATTAAATTTTACATTTGTTGTGGCAATATTGTGCTGATATATATCCCTATATCTACGAAATGCTCTTTAGTTTTGATTCTCACTTTTCAAACTTATTCTTTGTTTTTCCTTATCTATGCTGTAGTTGCGCTAAGTATATATTCATGCAT